GGAGAAGTGTGAAGTGCACGTGGAGAAGTGGTCGTGCTAGTACTGCTTCGGTGCTTCATGCAAATGCATCTGTGCATCTGTGCTATCCCTACTGACCAAGACAGCAGTCTCTTAACCCTACTACTGTAGTACATAGTCACTATTGTAATAGTACGCATCTGTGCTATCCCTACTGACCAAGACAGCAGTCTCTTAACCCTACTACTGTAGTATATACTGTCACTATTGTAANGGGGGGGGGGGGGGGGGGGGGGGGGGGGGTTTCAAAGCAGCGTAGATAGGATTAGGATTAGGATTAGGATTTCCCAAAGGGCGGAGAAGTGTGAAGTGCACGTGGAGAAGTGGTCGTGCTAGTACTGCTTCGGTGCTTCATGCAAATGCATCTGTGCATCTGTGCTATCCCTACTGACCAAGACAGCAGTCTCTTAACCCTACTACTGTAGTACATAGTCACTATTGTAATAGTACGCATCTGTGCTATCCCTACTGACCAAGACAGCAGTCTCTTAACCCTACTACTGTAGTATATACTGTCACTATTGTAATAGTACGGCTCTCGATACTCCGCTCAACCTATCAGTACGCTCAGTACGAGCTCTGGTGGAGGTCTGCTCTCCATCCTGTACTGGTGTAATGCTGCGCAACACTGCACGCTTCAGTACAGCGCTTGATACTGGCGGTACTGCACAGTATTCAGTACCTGCGAGGCATACTGGAATGTACTGGCTGTTGTAGTACAGCTGTCGATACTGGAATAAAAAGTTTCAGTACTTTTAGTATAGCTTTCGATACTGGCATAAAAGTTTCAGTACTTTTAGTACAGCTCGCGGTAGGAATAAACTGCACCCTTAGTACGGCTCTTGATACTGGAATGTACTGGCTGTTTTAGTACAGCTTTCGATACTGGAATAAAAGTTTCAGTACTTTTAGTACAGCTCCCGATACTGGAATGTACTGTACTGACAACACGGCCCTCAGTACTGTACTGTACTGGCTGCTTTAGTACGGACTTCAATACTGGACAAAGAGTTCTGTACTGTACTAAACACACCCTTGCACAGAAATTGTTGTTTTGAGATTAAAAACCGTTCCGATCTCTCTCTACCCAGTACCTTCGTATGGCCATACTGATCCAACACTCGACGCGGTCGGTTCCCGTGGTCGCAGGCTAACTTACCCGAAAAAGGTACACTCAAAAAAAATGGCCCCGAGGGGCCCGCAAGTCAATAGAAATCAACGACAGATATTCTGGAGTCCTCCACTCCCTCTGCGCGCTATGCGAGGTAACAACTGAGACTAGGGGTCACCATCACGGGCCGGAGAGAATGAGGTATACCCCCTTGGTTCAATCTTGGTACTTCACAGCAAAAGAGAAAAAAAGAAGAAAATAAAAGGAAACAGTAAGGAAAGAGAAAACGAAATAAAAAGAGCGAGGACAAAAAGGCACCAGGCCGAAAAAAACAAGGAACAAGAGACAGAAAAAGGCACACGGTGGAGAGTCCACTAACGAACAAGCAAGCACGCAAACATGGCCACCAACCAGCGATACATTGTAAT